TATATTTTTGTTTATAACTAGGCTGGGAGTTATCAGTGAGGGGACGTAGGGTCCATTGTGTTCTTTTGTTGGACTATTGTTTTCAGGATGGAGATGGACTCCCATATACTAACTCAGTTTTGAGGTTTGACTTTAACTTCGAAGGAAAAGGAACCGATTCAGCTGTCGCTGGATGATATTGCTCAGAACGAACACCTGTGTCGATCTAGTCTCTTTGGGAAGGCAGGGACGGAGCTAGTTTAGGACTAGGAGGGGCACGTGCCCCCTTGGATTTTCTCTAAGGCTGCAAGTTGGGCGGGTTAGCCCAGCCCAACCCAAACCCAACCCAGAAATTTTGAAATTTGGATAGACAATTCACAAATCGGGTTCATGTTCGGGTTGGGTTTAATCAAAACCCAAACAATTCGAGTTGGGCTCGGACTCAACCCGAACCCAACCCAAAACCCAAAATTATTATTATTTTTTTTCTCTTTTCTCTTTCCTCTCTCACTTCTTTCTCTTTTCTCTCTCCTCCCCGAAATTTTTTTTCTCTCTCCTCTCTCTTCTTTCTCTTTCTTCTTTCTCTTTCTCTCTCTGCCCGAATATTTTTTTTTCGCTTTTATCTTCTTTCTCTTTCTCTCTCTCTCTGCCACCGTCCCTCAGCCGATCCACCGCCGCCGCCGTCACTTCCAAAAATTAAAACAAAACCCATACATACAAGTTAGCAATTGCAGAGAGAGAGGGGGCCAAGCTTGAGAGTTGAGAGACAGCGGCTGAAGCTTGCGAACGGCAAACCCAAACTGGAACAGTCGGTGATGGAAACTGAAACATATGGGTTTTGATTTTTTGAACAATTTGAAATGATCTGAAATATATGGGTTTTGAACTTTTGATTCTTGTAGATTTTGTAGTTTGAAGTTACAGAGAGAGAGAGAGAGAGAGAGAGTTGAGAATGAGACTGGACGATTGGGGAGGCTGAAATGATTTGCCCTAAATTTTTTTTTGTTTTTTAATAATATATAGATATATCTGTATATATATCTATATAATATATATATTTTCGAAAAAAAATATATATAAATAAATTTTAAAAACTCAACCCATCAACCCGACCCGACCGGCCCGAAAATATTTAGGCTGGGTTTTGACTATAACCCATGTTAGGTACAATTCGGGTTCGCCCAACCCAACTCGATTAGGGTTGAGGTTGGGTTGGGACTGGGCTGGGTTGGGTCAGCCCAACTTGCAGCCCTAATTTTCTTCCTCTCTTATATTTTATAATAATATATATATTTTTCAATGAAAATATGGAAAGTGCCCCTTCTGAATTTTCTCATTCTTCATAGAATTCTATATATGTTTCATATTTTTTTCTTCTAAATTGTTTCCTTAATCCTTATTCTATATCTGTAAATTAATTTCATTCCAAAAATATCATGATCTCTTTCTATATATATATATATATATATATATATACTCATAAATATTGACTTATATGCATGTACATTATATTGTAAATATATGTTATGGTATACAATACTGTAATGTGCCCCCCCCTGAAAATTTTTTCTGGCTCTGTCCCTGTGGGATTCTAAAACGACGACTTTGGTAGGGGCCAAGTTTACCTTTGGTAAGCTTTTTAATAAATTGCGGCCTAAAGATAAACAGTAAGAGCCTTTACCAAAGAGGTTACAAGTTTTTAAGGTGGCGCGCAATCTCTTTCAACTGATTATTTCGAATGCTTCTATTCGGCAACGTATTCTGGATGGTTGTCCCTGGCTTTTTAATGGCCATTTGGTGGTGCTCCAGGAGTGGGAGGCGAGTTTATTAGCGTCGAATATTCTATTCCAAGTTTCTCCCTTTTGGATTCAACTTTTTGATGTGCAAGCAAATCTTTTGTCGGATAAGGTTGGGGCAAAAATTGCCAATTCTTTTGGCCGATGTTTGAAAGTTGAATTACACGATAAAGACTTGAATGAAGGGAAGGAGTTGGTGCTGGCTGATAGTCGTGTCCTTCGTCTTCGGGTGGTGTTGGATATTACGCAGCCTTTTCGGCGGCATATTCTTCTTACCAGTCCGACGGGAGAAGGGTCTCAGGCGCAGGTGTGATATGAGAATTTGCCGATTTTCTATTTTGCGTGTGGTATTATCGGCCATCAATGAAAATCTTGTCAAAATGGGACTTCTTTGGGGCCTGGGGATCTTACGGAGTATGGCCCTTGGTTAGGTGTTGATGGTTTTCTAAGAAAGGATCTTTGGGGTATGGAGCGTGATGGGGTGGATTCTGTAGGTGAAGGCCATATTAAGAATTGGCTATATATAGAAAAAGGTGATGTAGATGATGTAGATGGGTTTGCAGGGTCTAAAAATTCTTTTTCATTCTGTCAGAATCCGGGGTGGGAGGTTGATCCGTGTATTCCGTTTGGTATGCATGGTGCTGGTACGGGACTCCAAATGAGTAAGAAATTGGGTAACAAGGTGGTTGTTCTTTTGAGTGTTGGTGGTCCATCACGTCAGGCTGGGGGTATTGGTATTGGGGACTTTTCGGGTGGTGAGGGGTTTTGTTAGACTGGGGTGGTTTTGAGGGATCAGGCTGTATGTGGGGGTGAGGATGTTTGTCCATCTGATGTTCCTGTTTTTCCAATAGATGGTGGTTTAATACCAGGTTCTTTTTCGCAGAGTCACGTGGCGTCGACACAAAATGAGGAGCTTCTCGTTTCAGAACCTGTTACTTCTCCTGTTAAAGGTCGGGTTCTTCCTTTGCAACGCTTGGATAAAATGTCAAATGGCTAGAAAAAGGGTAAAAGTCGGGTTATCCCAGTGTTTAGGTCTACTTCGGATTCCTCTGCTACTTCTCACAGTTGAGGTTCTTCTCCAGCTAAGAAAGGTCGAAAGCGTAGGCAGTCTTTATCGTGTGGTTCTCCTTGTGCTCAGGTAAGGGGGGAGAAGAAAATTAAGGCTATGGATGCTAATGATGTAGCTCAAGTGGTTGCTATGAATGATGTTGGTGGTGAGGTTGGTATGTGATCTGAATCGTCTGCAAAGTCGGGGACTCAGCTGGCAGATTCTTTTACTTCAGAGTCCTCTCAATCTTTTGCGACTCAGCTAGCTTTGCTTGTGGATGCTACTCCTCCCACACTTAATGACACCCTTTAGACTTTGTTGTCAAGACTGAGATCATAACATGGGTGTTAGTTTTGCTTTTGTTAGCTTTTTGGGTCATGTATGTACTTTTTGTTTGGCTTATGTTGTTTGATCCTTGCCTGTAGATGCCGTATGGCATTGGCGTTTGTTCTTGCCACGGTAAATATATATATATATAGTTCATAAGGGTTTTGTGCTTTTGGTTGAAAATTTAGGGAGGATTATATACACGTTACCCCAAATATAATAATATAATTATTTCATATTTATTTATATTATTTATATTTAAAATTAGGCTTCATAATATTTTTTAGGTAGAACTAATTATTAGTTTAAGAGAGACCAAACTTAAAAAAAAATTTAATTTTATGTTATTTATTTTTTAGGTAAAATATATATTGTTGTTATCAAATACATTATTATCAAGTATTATATATAAATATTGGGAAAAAAAGGGTTATATGAGCGAGCCTTCCATCTATACTGTAGTGTAGCCCAAGCACACAAAGAAACTGAGACAAAAACAAATAAAGAAACCTTGCCTTTTTTTTTTTTTTTTTTTTTTTTTTTTTTTTTTTTTTTTGAACGAGTTATTTTGCATGATAAATTATTTGGATAAAATAGGAATATAAAATAAAAAAGAACTATTTTCACGCGAAAATCGATGTGTTTTATTAGGGCTGATCACGGATCGCATCGGTTCGGTTTTGGGTAAAATTCAAACCAATCTGGTTTTCATGGATTGGCTAAATATGAAACCGAACCGATCCGTGGGGACTCTCAATCCGAACCAAACTGATCCGTAAAATAACGTATTGGTGCGATTCGGTTCCCACAGATTGGGCTTGACATAATACAACTAAGAAAACTAAAATTTGAGGCAAATTATTATTTTCGTCTGAGTCATACATGAATTTCTAAAGACTATACATATTAATAAATGAGCTATGAAAATGACACGGTAGAATTGAAACTAAGTGATGAGATGGAGCAATCAAGATTTTTTTCTAGAAGAGAAGAACAAAAATTAATAGAAGAAAATAATGAAAAACTTATGAACTCACTGGAAATTAGATGCAGATGAAGAGGAAATGATTGGCCGATGTAAATTGGAGATGTTTACTTGTCTGGGTTCTATAATAGACCGAGAGTATTGGGTTACCTGGGCCTTTCATGAGAGATTGTGAGCAGAACGGTGGGTTTGTGGGATCAGATGAGACTTGATGGGAGGCTGGAGACGCATGTAAATGAAACCAATATAAAAACTAAAAAGTGTAAAACATTAAGCACAAAGCAGTAAAGCATTTGGGTTCGTAAAATATTCTGCATGTACTATATATTGTGTGCGCGCGCGCGTGTGTGTGTGTGTATATATATATATATATATATATATATATATTAGTTTTACGGAGTGGCCATAGATCGGTTCGATTTTTTCAGCACTTAATCCATTAACCGATCCGGTTACTATCAATTATTAATTTTTCAATTCATTACCGAATCACGACACTAGAAAACCAAATCGAACCGTATAAATCGGATTGAATCGATTCGATTTAGCGGATTGACGAATTATTTGAATACCCCTATGTTTTATACATGAAATGTTTTGGTGAAAAATAGCCAAGCAATTTTTTACTCTTTCCTTTTATGTGTTTTATACGTGAAAAGTTTTGGTGAAAAATAGAGAAGCAATTTTTTCCTATTTCCTTTTATCCAAATTCCAAAAAATTTAAATTTTTTTCTTTGTCTAACTAAATAATAATAATTATTTTTTACCCGGAAAAGGTCAAGCAATTTTATTGATGTAAAACTGTACAGAAACGGGCTTTCCATTGGAGGCCCAAAAAGAAACAAAAAAGAACAGGTCTAACTAATAAGCGGTTGGCTCACAACTGTTCACTCCGGTAATCCAAATAGAAGGAGACGCACAGCACCAAAACGAAGCTAGGGCTCTGCAATTGATTGATCAGGGGGTTCCGGACGCGGTCGGAGGCATGAGCTTCCAATCCAGTGTAGCAATAGGTTTGAATTCTGCACTCTTAACTCCTCAATCGATAGGCTGTAAATCATTGTTATAACCAAATCGAACCCAATAGCTTGCACCACCACCGGAAATCCTCACCATAGTCAGTTTCTCGTCATCGTCGGAGTCTTCCCTGGTCTTCGCCGTCGGAGCGTCTCTCGGTCTTCGCCGTCGGAGCACCTCTCAGTCGTTTCACGGATCTAGCACAAAGGTAGCACAAAGGTCTGATTTTTGTTTTTCAAAAAGTTTAATAAGCAAACCTCAGGGGAGGTCAGATTAATTTGTCCATCTCTTTTCAATTCTTTCCCTTTCCTGCGAACCAAACAAAGCCCTATAAAACACCTGTGCTAAGTTGGTGGTTCATACCCCTCCTTGTTCGCAACACAAATTAAACCCTTTTCCAGCAAGCCCTCTCCGTCTCTATATCTCTTTCTTTAAATATCGTATTCTCCACTGTATCATTGCATAGGGTTATCATCAATTAGGGTTTTCATCCAACATGGCTCGCAAGCGCAGAAGCGAGTCGAGTGGTGAGGAGGATTATAGGGCGAAACGGTCGCGTCGGGATCTGGATGACGACAATCGCCACAGAAAATCGGATTCGCGAAGGGATCTGGATGACGACGATGGGCACAGAAAATGGGATTCGCGAAGGGATCTGGATGACGACGATGGGCACAGAAAATCGGATTCGCGAAGGGATCTAGATGACGACGATCGACACAGAAAATCGGATTCACGAAGGGATCTGGACGACGACCATCGAAACAGAAAATTGGACTCACGAAGGGAGTTGGATGACGACGATCGACATAGAAAATCGGATTCACGAAGGGATAGAAAACGAGATAGGAGTGAGCGAGGGCGAGGAGAAGAAGGTAGCAGGGATGTTCGGGAGAAGGATAAGGAAGAGAGGGAGTCGCAAAAACAGCAGTTGCAGTCGGGGGGATTGCGACAAGAAGGCAAGCCATCGTTGAATATGGATGATGCTGCTGCGAATTTGGGGACGAGGAGTGGTGGAGTGTACATTCCACCGTTTAAGTTAGCAAGGATGATGAAGGAGGTGGAGGATAAGAGTAGTTTAGAATACCAAAGATTGACATGGGATGCATTGAGGAAGAGTATAAATGGGTTAGTGAACAAAGTAAATGCAACCAATATTAAGAATATAATTCCTGAACTTTTTGGTGAGAATCTGATCCGAGGAAGGGGTCTCTTTTGTCGGTCCTGTATGAAATCTCAGATGGCATCGCCTGGTTTCACACACGTGTTTTCAGCTTTGGTGGCTGTGGTTAACACCAAGTTTCCGGAGGTGGGTGAGCTTTTGTTGAGAAGGATTGTTCTGCAGCTAAAGAGAGCGTATAAGCGGAATGACAAGCCCCAATTGTTAGCAGCTGTTAAATTCGTAGCACATCTTGTGAACCAGCAAGTGGTTCACGAGCTTGTTGCTTTGGAACTACTCACACTTCTTTTGGAGAAACCTACTGATGATAGTGTTGAGGTAGCTGTTGGCTTCGTCACAGAATGCGGTTCAATACTTCAAGACCTTTGCCCTAAAGGTTTGCACGGTGAGTGAGCGATTTGCCATTTGTATTATGTTATTACGTGGCTTGTTTTCTACTTATGTCCCGTCTTATATTTAGAACAATCATGCTGCGAGAAACAATTATATTTACCATGCTAGGGTTTACAATGCCTATAATTAGATCTTATTGGTGTAAAATGAAGACTGTCAGTTTTGCACACTGATGCATGCTTTATTGAGAATCTATGTATGCTTTGATCTCCCTATTACAGTTCGGCACTTTTAAGTTTGAGGTAGTTCTTGAAAAAATATGTTTTGAAAGTGTATAGAACTAAGGTAGTATTTGATATTCATTAAAATTCACACTTGCATTCCTTTTTTGGTACAATACAAACGATTGAATATGGAGTCCATGTACATGTTCTAGGATTGAATTCTTATTGCTAGGATCTATGATGTGAAAAAATAATGAATAATCATTATTATTGATTTTTGACAGTATGCAGTGTAATTGGACTAAGGCCACATGATTTTCCATTATGGATCACCGAGTACATTCCCGTTCTCCTATTTGTGAGCAATTGTTTTGGTTTATATCATTGTAAATGGATTGATTATTTAGGTTATGCATAACTAAATATTAATAAGAATATCCTCATCATGTCTTCTCACTAGTCTTAAATGGATCATAACATAAGTTATATAATGACTTCAATATCAAATTTATAATTCGATTAAAAAAAAAGCTGGAAAAGTCGCATTTTACTAAAAATATTTGGAACTCCACTATTTATAGTAGTACGACCGGAATCCATGATAAACAAAAATAAAAGATAAATCAGGTTAATTACTTGAGAACTTCTTGATGACTCCAAAACATGAATAAATTAGATTTGTTGAATACATTGCATCTAAATTAAGACAAAGAAATGAGTGGTCCAATAGTTGCATTGTTCTATTTTCTTCTTCAACTTTGTATGGTAATGACATAGAATGTGATTTTATTCAGGAAAAAAAAAATTGGTTTTTCTTTCCGTGATGTCTTTGATTGTGGTGTTTAAAAGGCTACATGTACCAAGGGAAGGGTGTGATCTGTACCCTGAATCTTGAATTGCCAAAGCGGCTGTAGCTATATTGATCCAACGGCTGAGAAGTTAACTGGCCGGTTGTTTGAGGTTCCTTCAGAATCTCCATCGACAAATCTGCTTACCGAACTTCTTACATGTACACATATATGAATTTGATATAAATTTGATATTGAAGTCAGTATGTCCTCTCATTAGTGTCATGCAAGTCGATAGTTATATCCTCAGTATGTCTTCTCTTTGATTGACTGCATATCGTTCTACAATCCTGGAATTGCAGGTTGTTTCTCAACTAAATGGTCAAAAAAGAAACCATAGGTTATAGAATTTTTAACTAGACTGCTGTCCAAAAAAGATGGTTTCACGATTTTGGTATTATGAAAAGAATGTTTTTCTTTAGTTCTGGTGATTCGATGTCCCATTGAAATTGAATTATTGCACTGCATTCTACATAGCCTATGAGACTAACTATTTGTGGTTGTAACTTTCAAGTGGATATACTTCATGTCTTTTCATGCATATGCATACAGAAAGTCTCATGTATATAAAGTATCTTAATGGTTAGTGATTCATACAGGTATTTTTGAGCGTTTTCGTGGAATTCTTCATGAGGGAGAAATAGATAAACGGGTTCAATTCTTAATTGAAGGTCTATTTGCAATCAGGAAAGCCAAGTTTCAGGTGCAGTCTCGATTCTTTTCCTATAGTATATTAGCTTCTGAACATATTCAGCAGCCTAGAATGATAAGTACTTAAAACTCTTGATTTTAATGTGTACATATGTAGGGGTACCCAGCTGTTCGTGCAGAGTTGGACCTTGTTGAGCAGGAAGATCAGTTGACTCATGAAATATCTCTTCAAGAAGAGATAGATCCAGAGATTACTTTAGGTATATCTTATTGTTTATTATCTGTTAAGCTGTTTGCTAATTTTAGCATTGTATATATATTACTATAATATTTGTTATTATCCATATTCAGATATTTTCAAGCCGGATCCTCAGTTCACGGAGAATGAACAGCGTTATGAGGAATTGAAGAAGACCATACTTGGCGATGAGTCTGATGATGAGGATGAGGCAGATTCAGATGCAGGCTCAGATGATGAAGATGATGAAGAATCTGATGAGGATGATGAAGAGCAGATGAAAATTAAAGATGAGACAGAGACAAATCTTGTAAATCTTCGGAGGACAATTTATCTTACAATTATGTCTAGCGTTGATTTTGAGGAGGCTGGTCACAAGCTATTGAAAATCAAATTAGAGTCTGGTCAGGAGGTACGTAATATGAGCTCTGCTTTCAGTTTCTGCAATACAATTAAGTTGCTTTAGATCTATATTTTTTGTATGGCAAACCAAATGCAGTTCTTATCCATGTTTTTTTTTTGGGGAGGGGGTTATTATTCTGCACGAGGATTCCGATGATGTTTTGGCCTATAGAATTCCCCCTCCCCTCTCACACACACCACTTGCTTGCACGATTGAGTTTTTTTTGTGAGAATGTTGGTTGGTAACCCTTTTTTTTTTTGTCCTGGGAACTACTTCAATGGGGATTTCATAGGTCATTCTTAACCTTTTCTTGATGTTACACTTCCTACTCCATGTAATCGTGAAACTCTAACAATTCCTACAGAATAGTTGCAGCTTGCACTTTCACCATCATGGTTGAGCATGATTTTGAGTAATGTTTCGATGTCTCTTTACTTCTTTTTTCTGTCTTTGGGTTTTTGACACCATAAGGTCTGCTTCAGAATTTCACTGCTCATTGTGCCCCTAATGATTGAATAGCTATCTTCGCTGCAACCTAAGAAGCATGGAAACTGACACAATACGACACAGATACACCGGCATGTCAATTTCTAAAAAAGTAGCACACAGACATGGCGTGGACATGACTAATATAAATATTCATTTATGTATATATATATTGAGTAAGACAATTACAGAACTTTAATTAATTTATAGTTTATATACCAGAGTTACATAAGTTGAAAGATGGAGTTATACTTACCAAAAAAAAAATTAAAAGTTAGAAGATGGAGTTATTCGAATATAAAAAAGAAATATATTGTATTTATACGTTATTACTCTCATATCCTGTCATTATAATTATGTTTTTGTTCATTACATACTGTGAATGTCAATTTTTTAAAGAAGAGGTTGGACACTATGTTCATAATGTGTTGGTTGAGTATCCAGAATGTATTGATCAAGTGTCCAAAATGTGTCGACCAAGTGTCCAATATGTATCGGCCAAGTGTTTTAAATAATAAAAATTATTTTTAAATTATGGACATGGCCATGAAGTGTCGGAAACATGTCTAGGAATGTCCTTGAAGTATCGGTGTCCGACACGGTGTTGGACATGAACACGGCACCTTGGTAGAAGTGTCCGTGCTTCTTTGGCTGCAACCATGGAAATATTCTTCTTAACAAATTCTATCAAAATATCTAGCCTTTTTAATGTCTTTGACATCCATTGCTCACAACTTTTCTTTCTGCAACGAGAGCAATTTTGATTGAGTTGATCCCGTTAAGAGTAGCAAATTTAATTAATATTTCATAGACAAGTCAATTTTCTTCGAACAGAAAGCTTCATGAGAAGTGGAGCAATGTACGAACACAAATTAATACAATAGTGAACTAGAAGTTTCAAACACTTGCAATTATGGAAACAGTTATTTGCACTTATTAAAAAAAAAAAAAAAAAGAAGTATGGAAACTATTATTTGATTCACTTCCAGGGTAGATCTGAGGAAAGCGCACTTGCAAAAATGGTTTCTTTGATTATCAAATAATAAAACATCGTTATAAATTTTTTTTGGTAAGTATTGCTATAATATTATATTAACTGCATTATGTAATATAAGTCAAAGACATGCAACTGCTCCAACCATAATTAATGCACGCAATCATAACTCATGTAGACACTATTTTTTAGATCCATGATTGGAATATATATCATTTCTCTAGGAGTTGGCATCATGATGCCTCAACTCCTGGCAAGGCTAATAACAGCCAATGGTTCAATGACCGTGGCAACTCTAGATTTTATCAATGATTATTTTGAGACAGTGAGTGTGGTAAGCATGACAGAGCAACTGCATTTTCCAAAAATTAACACCAGTATGAAAAATCAACATAAACATGATCTACCTGTACCGTGAGAGATCCACTAGCTTTCTTTATCAACATATAAAGTTTTGAAGTCTTATACATCATTTGTTATGATTTCTTACTCATCTTTGATTTCAGCATTCTCAATCTGATTTTCAGTCTAAACTTTTATTCACATCTTACCAAAAAGGGGAAAAAAAGTATTTGCATTCACAACTTATCCCAGAATTAAATTAGAACAATATATTGACATAAAGTAGAAGAATTTGAAGCTAAAAAAACTTTACCATATTGTCTTGGATGTTCCCAAGATCCACAGTGGGTATGATTGAGGCTTGGAGAGGGTGTCTAGCAGAGAGCTGAGCCAGGGTCGTTTGGAGGGCCATTCCCCTTCACTTATAGTGGGATTTGTGGTGTGAGAGAAATAGGACATCCTTTGAAGGGGTGGAGACTCCGATTTGGACTCTCAAATATAGTATACTGCATACTTTAATTTTTTTTGGGTGAATAGGCATAATTGTAAATCTTTGGGGCATCTTTTGGACTTTGTTGATAGTTTGAAGCTTATTTTATTGCCTTTGGCGCCTTGTGTATCTTTTTGGGCGCGCTTCCCTCTTGAGCGCTTTTAATGAATTTTACTTGTCAAAAAAAACATGCAAGATCAAAAGAGGAAGTTGACCATTCTTAGCATACAATTAACTGATACTTTCTAGGCCTACCCTTTTTCTCATTCATTTAGGTTGTATATTTTATACAAAAGTAAAATATCTCTCCTATAGAAATGGGGAAAAAATATGTACTTGGGATGTCATTAAGTTATGTTTACTGCCCATCTATTTGATCCCATAAGGTAGGATGGTTATAGCTGAATGATGAAATTGTAACAGGGATTTCATTTATGGGATACTGTGGACATCCCTTTTACCTACTTTTGTCCCATTACTTCTGCAGGGAAGGCGCAGGGGCAGTGAAAAGACCCCTATTAGGTTCTGTTGCTGTATATATAACGTTGTTCTTGTTGAGTCTCCTTGTAAATAAAACAAAACCGAATTCTGTATGTATTTAAAATCAGTTTTCAAATACTTCTCTATGTATACATTTTACTCTTTGAATTTTGTTCATTATTCTTTCTCCTGTCTCTATGTATATAATTTTTAGCACAAAAACAGAAAAAAAAAGGTATAAGACACTTGATTTTTTTTTTTTTGGGTTTTCTGTGTGTGTTGTGTGGGAAGGGGGGGTTTGTTTGAGTTTGACTCTTCTTAGAAGGCCATTAAGTTATGTTTACTGCCTATCTATTTGATCCCATAAGGTAGGGATGGTTATAGCTGAATAATGAAATTGTAACCGGGATTTCATTTATGGGATACTAGTGACTGCCCTTTTGGCCCATTACTTCTGCGGAAGGTGCAGGTACAGTGAAAACACCCCTATTAGGTTCTGTTACTGTCTATAATGTTGTTCATGTTGGGTCTCCTTATAAATAAAACAAAACAAAATTCCAGATATAAGATCAATTATCAAATGCTTCTCCATGTATTATTACATTTTCTCTTTGAATTTTGTTCATTATTCTTTCTCAGGTCTCTCTTTCTTCCCTTTTTTTTTTTTCTTTTTGGGGGGGGGGGGGGGGGGGGGGTTGGGGGGATGACTTCAAAATTGCATTTTGTAAAGCCTAGAGCATGTTCTAAATACTTGGACACATATTGAGTTCTTGATTTCGCTCATGCAGATGGAGCTAAATATTATGTTACTGGAATGCTGCAGTCAAGAGAGAACTTACCTTCGTTATTATGGTCTCTTGGGGCAAAGGTTTTGCACGATCAACAAGGTCTACCAGGAAAATTTTGAGAAGTGCTTTGTCCAGCAATATTCCATGATCCATCGGCTTGAGACAAATAAACTACGTAATGTGGCCAAGTTTTTTGCCCATTTACTTGGCACCGATGCTCTTCCTTGGCATGTTTTAGCCTATATACGTTTAACAGAGGAGGACACCACATCTTCTTCCCGTATTTTCATTAAGATTCTCTTCCAGGTACATGTCCAAATTTATTTATTTAGTTTTTATATTTTTCCTGTACAAGTTGGAAATCTCCCCTTTGTTTCTAGTAATGTTGCTGACCTTCCTGAAGATGTCATGTGATGTGACCATATACTTATTGCTGTGTAACTTCTCTACGTGTAATTTGTTAATGAGTTGCACATCCCATCATTGACAATATGAATTATTTCCTCTTATGTTGTTCTATTTGGGATTATATCTTTGAAACTATGAAGCATGGACGATGTTACGTTACGAACGCAACATGATGCTTACTCACTACTCAGTTATTCCACAAAATCTTAAAAAATAGGATACGTATACGCTAAAGGGCAATATATATGTATATATTGTATTAGTTTAGATATGTACAAAAATTTAAGTATTAATATATATGCATTTATCTATGTATAAATTTGAAATAATAATTGTTTTATTATATATATTATTACTAGCACTCCCTTATAAAAAATTGTCATGCAAGTTGATAGTTATATCCTCATTTATATCTTAATTATTATTAATTTTGTGGGAAGAAATTCTATATTTTTAGAACCTTTATTTTGTATTTCCTAATAATTATGCTATGGAATCATACTTAGAGAAATTACATTTTATTGTTTAGAGACTTGTTAGATGTGTCTTGAACTATTTGAGAAGTATCATATACGTGGTCGAGCCTGGCTGAGGAAGAGTTACATAGTGTAAAACAAAAAAAAAAAAAAAAATGCTGATGGGGGGTCAGGCCATACTATTTGTAATGATTACATCATTCACAATAAATACTAATAAAAGAGTATTTGAGAAGTTTTGGACACATGTTTGAAATATATATCAAAAAAATTAAATTATGGATACATTTTAGAAGGGATTGGACGTATACATGAGTGTTGATATCCGATATGGATATGGCATGGGTACACCCCTTGTAGAGGTATCCGTGCTTCATAGCTTTAAGGTCTTAGTTCTTTGTTTTTCTTACTTTTGCTTCGGACATATTTTGACTTTAATGTTGCCCTTTTGGTGCCTTTCAAATTTTAATTTATGACCACTGATTCAACTACTATTCCTCCTCCCCTTTGAGGATTTATACTTTCATTCTTACTGTTTGTAATCTCATCAATTCTTTAGGAATTGTCAGAGCACCTTGGCATACACAGGCTGAATGAGCGGCTTACTGATCAGACGATGCAGGATTCATTTGAATCCATTTTCCCAAGGGATAATCCCAAGAACACACGGTTCGCAATCAATTTCTTCACATCTATTGGGCTTGGTGGCATCACTGAAAACCTGCGAGAGTACTTGAAGAATATGCCCCGTCTTATTATGCAACAACAAAAGCCAGTATCCGATTCAGATGACGAGTCCAGGAGTTCTAGTTCTTCTGATTCAGATGCATCTAGTTCTGAGTCAGAATCCGGGTCATCAAGCTCTGATGAAAGTGAAAGTGAAGAAGACAGACACAAAAAGAGGAGAAGAAGAAGAGACTAAAGGATATTCTCATCAGTATGGTCAATTAGGGCTTCATGTCTTTGATCCAATGAAAGCAGCAGTTATTTCACTCGCGCTTGTTCCACAATTAGTAGAATCTTGCTCTATCTGAAAATGGGTGGAACTGTACAAGCTTGTGGTTTCACTGTGAATTACTGTATTACTTCCATGCAGTTAATGGTTGAGTTTTGGAGAGTTGCTGTAATAGTTTCTATAGTAGTGCCTTTAGATTTTCTCTTTCTTATTTTAATTGTTGCAATTGTTTTGTTCTGTTACGTTAGACCCTAGTTTGTCAAAGATATTCTATGCTCAAGATAGTTCAGTAACATTTTGATGATTGGTCCTGAGAACTAGCATATTTAGCTGTCAAAATGTTTAGCTATAGTTCAATTTTCAGTTTCATCATTGATTTTTGAGATCTATCACATGCCAAAATGATTCTTGAAGAAAGTGTTGCTACTTGTTTTTGGGAAATTTTGTTTTCATTTATTGTTTGCTCTTTTTATTCATTTGCTTTATAAGTACTTGTCAATAATGTTTTGGGGCTGGAGAAGGAAAATGTTTTATTTCTCTGAAATGTTAGTTACATTTCCCAAAAGCTATTATTGTTGGAGGTACCATATTCTGCTAATGTGCTTGAAACTGTTTTAGTAGTATGTATATTCTGATATGGATATGGATCCGTTTGACTTTGGATCTTTTTGAATTGGAAACATTATTAGTTCATCAAACTAAATGTGTTCTCTGATTAATAAGCCTTAATTGGTCGTAAAATATGGGTCGTAGTTCCTCTTCACATCTTTGAATATCATTCGAAACACATCCAAAGTTTCTTCTAGTACTGTGTCATGGAAGTTGGTTGGCAGTGCCAGGTTGTCATCTTTTGGGACCTTTGGGTAGTTCCTTCTGCTTGGATCAACAAGTGAGCCTAACGGCTGAATTTGTTTACATCACAATAATTGACCTCGGAGAACCATGTGAAATGGGAATGAACTAGATACCACTTGCTTCTTTTGGTGAGTGAAATTGGCGAGGTTTTGGTACTTATTTTCTGTGTCAGTTTTATTAAATTTTTAGAACTTTTCCCCTTCCCATTCCCTTCCAAAAAATTCATAATCTTGCTTCTTAATTGATTACCTAAACTTTTGGGGAGTTCATAAACATTTACATAGCATAATTTGAGAGAGCAGATATTCCTCCAAAAATTTGAGAGAAGATTAACTTTGACATTCCCAACAGAGAAGGAAGTCTTGACTACTTGTTAATCCTAATCCATAGTATTTCAATATGTAGAATTCTTCCCCAATTAATTTCTCAAGTTATTTGCTGTATTAGGGCTGAATAATAAGCGTGGTTTTTCAAAATTAACAAGTTGACTGGTAAGATTTTGCTTACTTGTCCAGCATCCTTTTAGTAACAACTACTACTACTACCATCTGCCTTGCAAAAGAAAAGGATACCATCAGGAAACAAAAGGTGTGAAACTGCAGTCCCACCCTAAGTCACATAATTCTTTTCAATGGGTGCCGCTCTTCCTCTCCCTCTCACGCGCATGCTCTTGTTTTCGTTCCTATTTCATGTGACTTAGATTTTGCCGCTTTCACGTTTCTGCTTTCGAATTTGCTCTCGTTGTGTGTGACTTAGGTTTAGGTCCCACCTCTGCTAACTTTGACACCATTAATATTTTCCTTCTTTCAGCCTTTTGTAACAGTTGAGGAGGAAGCGATAAGAGGGGAAAGAGGAGGGGGTCCCCTTGTCTCAACCCTCTTGTTGGAAATAAAAGATTCCCACTCTCCATTCATTAATTTCATTTTAACAGAATATGAAACTGATGACAAACAGTGCATGACCGATTTGACTAAGTTACGCAATCTCTTTCAACGGGGTATCACTCTCACGCTTTGAACCCTTTCTTGTTCAAATTTTTACTATTTGTTACTTAGTTTTGTCTTTTTCATGTTCCCATTCTCGAATTCGCTCCTACTTTATATGACTTAGATCCAAAGTCATTGTACTTGTATTTCTCGAAGTAGGGTAACTTAGATCCAGAGCCATTGAACTTGTACTTCTCAAAGTAGGGACCTTGAACTTGGAAGGTAATTGAACATCGGAGAAGAAGTACAAATCAGAGTAGTTTGCCTTCACTTGAATCCTTGTACTTTTTTGTTTTATTTTAATATACTCCTTCATTCAGGAAAAAAAGAAAAAAGAAAAAAAGAATAGTTTGCTCCCCCATAGGCATCAACTTGCTACCGAAACCCCACTGTGTGTAGCTGATTGACATCTGCATATTTTGGCTTTTTGTAAAGCATATGTCCCTAGTACTTCTATGCTTTTCCATGTGTTTGAATAGAAAAGTGAAAGAATACACAAGAAGGGTCAATAGAGAAAGAAACAAGTGCTGTTGACAATTTGAAATCAAATGTGTCGGCTCTTTATTCAGTTTTTTTAGTTGCGTTCCATCCTGTGATTGGCGAACCATGTACTAATTTTCTCATAAACTAATGCTGTTGCCTTTTGACACCTGAAGGAAAGGCTTAGGACATTTAGTGAAATATATCAACATTTTTTTCCCTATAATTGTTGAGTTGTATCATGCAATGTGTGTATGTTTGTTTGTTTTTTATTTTTTCATTGTAAAGGCACAAAGGCCAATCCATCAATGGCAGTGCGGAAGCAAAAGCCAAGTCAGATAAAGACATTCAAATCATGAAGCAAAACAAAAAAAATAAATAACAGGATTTAGATTTGTTGAGAACAAGAGTCAAAGTTTTAACGGAAACCACCAAGGGAGTTGCTACGGGAGTGACCCAAAAGCATAGCCATCATTAAGGCAACAACTCCAAAGTTACATTCACAAAGCGTCTCCAACAGGAAAAAAATCACCCAATACCAGCACAAGATTAAATCGAGTCGTGGACAACCAAAACCGACGTAGATCAAAAATTTAACCGGAGAGAAAACATCAGATCTATCTAGTCTAGTCGGAAACAAGCCAAATAGGAGTAGATCTAGTCAAACAAAAGCAAAAATGGCGCAAAAATTACCCACGAAGCGAACTTATTAAACTACGCTGAGTTTATTTTAAACTGTGGGAGGCAAAAAATGGCACCTCTCCACTCCCATGAAAGGGAGAGAAAATAGGATGGGGAAGACGGAGGTGCAGAGAGAACAGAGAAAAAGTCTGTGTGTATGTCTTCTCTTTAGGAGTCAACTGTCTTCTCCTTAGGGAAAGAAAGTGGTGGAAAAGAGATTAGATTTTTGCTCATCAAGAAACTCCCCTCCACCACTGCGATTGAATGACCATAAAATAAACTAATTTATCTGCAAATTCATGATCTTATATATTAGAAATTTATTTAATGAATTCTGCTAATAGAGATTTATCAAATTAATTTCAACCACAGGATTAAATCCCTTGTTATGAGATTTATTATTTACGATTACCTAAATTTTCCAACTTGTTACATTTGCAAGGTTATGCTTATATATTTAATACTAGTAGTAGTTTTTAGTAGGTACGTGTATAATTTATACTGTTAAAATATTATACGTTTAAGAAAAATTGTAAGAAACTAAGAAAGTATCATAATGTAAATTTATCAAATGATGAAATTGGAATATATATATTAATTAACTATATAAATTGGAAACATGTAAAAATATCATCTTAGTATATTAATTTTTAACTACCATTCACGAAACATTTTTATACTCTGCAAAATAAAAAATATATTACCAAACACCTTATTTTTTAATTATTCACTGCTATAGTACCCTAAAAAATAAAAAATGCAAAAATATTGATGGATCATTTCAAGCCATCCAATTACATTGCACATGAGAAGAAGTAATTTCTGCAAATGGGGCAAATCTATGATTAGTTTAGGAAAACATCAAGATTGATGTTTTTAAAACCAAATTTCTCACATTTAATGGATGACCCTTTTGAGTCACATCACACATTGTCCTCACGTGTTTTGTCTTTGGTGGTCCTGGATTGTATCTGTCGAATATGTTCATTACAATCAATATAATATACATATATCATCATAAAGCCCTGAAAAAAATAAAAAATAAAAAAAATCATAAAGCCAACTCATGTAGAATTGATTGGTGATCTTTCATTCATAAGCCAAAATGAACCATGATTGATATTGTAGCTATCAAGTGTCAACTAGCCAGCTAGCTTATGGTAGATCTAAGTGAAAATGAGTTGTCAAATATTTTCATGAAAATGACAAAACATGTGGTCTAAATACTTTGGATTCTCCCTTTCCATTATTATCAAAACCATATATGTTCAAAGTTTTTTTGTTTTTTTTGAAAAGGGAGAGAGAAGATATATCCCCTTTTGCCGGATTATTGTCCATGAAATCATAAAAGAAGTTGATTTTTTATTTTTTTTGGGAAATATTAAACTAAGTTTATGATAAACTTTGACTTTTGATTCGCCGACACCAACTCCTTCATACATTTCTTTTTAGAAATATCCTTGATCTCATTGATAACGAATGGGTCCAAATAATTTTATTGGAGTAGTTGTTAAACCATATCACATAATTTCGAGAACAATAATCAGACATATTTATTTGCGTCTCGATCAATTTGTGAATAGCGAGGACGATGTAATTGCTGAACCATACTGTCAATATGCCCAATGTCCCTGTTGCCATATGATGAGAGGCGATTCTTCTCATAACACACACACATATGAGCAATTCTTCTCATAACACATACACACATATGAGCAAGTCTATCACGATGGTATCCTTAACAAGAAATCATTATATAGTCCCAACCGATTAGCTATCAAGTGTGTCAACTAGCCAGCTAGCTTATGCTAGATCTAAGCGAAAATGAGTTGCCAAATGTTTTCGTGAAAATGACAAAACAGGTGGTATAATTACTCTGGATTCTCCCTTTCCATTATTATCAAACCATATATGTTCCTTAGTTGAAAAGGGGGTGAGAAGATATATACTCTTTTGCCGGATTATTGTCAATGTAATCATAATTTTATTTTTTTTTATTTTTTTGGGAATCTTAAACTAGACTTGTGATAAACTTGATTTTTGGTTAGCCTACGTTAACTTTTCGATATATCTCTTTTTGGAAGTATCCTCGGTCCCATTGATAAGAGGGGTTCAAATAATTTGATTGGGGTAATTGCTAAATCACATCACATAATTTCCGCAATAACAATTTGAAAAAAATTGACACATTTATTTATGTTTCGATCAATTTGTAAAGGGCGAGGATCATGTAATTGCTGAAACATATTGCCAATATGTTCAATGTCCTTGCTGCAATATGATGAGAGACGATCAATGAGAACCATTACATAATCCCAACCAATTACAAACGGACACACAAGTAAAAATATTGAATAAAACTGACACATTTATTTGCGTCTCGAT